CGTATGCATCAGCTAGCTGGGTAATGTGCATCTGCATTTTTTTGGACAACTGCTGACACTACACCAGCTATAGCAATCCTAGCTACATGCCATTAATACTTTATTCAAATATAAAATTAATGCAATCACGTAAAGCTTCTGCCATCCACGTTCACTCTGCTGTTCACGTTACAGCTTTTACAGTCTTAGAATCATTAAGGTTGGAAAGACCTCCAAGATCATCAAGTCCAACCATCAATCAAACACTACTATGCCCACTAACCAATGCACCCAAGTGCCATGTCCACACGTTTTTTTAAACCCCTCCAGGGATGGTGACTACACCACCTCCCTGGGCAGCCCGTTCCAAGTCCTCACCACTCTGTTAATAATGAAATTCTGCCTAATATCCAACCGAAACCTCCCCTGAGGCAACTTCAGCCTATTTCCTCTCATCCTATTGCTAGTTACTTGGATGAAGAAACCAACACCCACCTCACTCCAACCTCCTTTCAGATAGTTGTAGACAGCAATAAGGTCTCCCCTCAGCCTCCCCCTTCTCTTTGCTTTACGTGAGAAATCACAGGTTAATTAATGGACAAGGTCTTGGCAGGAACACATTGCTGGTTTAGGTTTAAGTGTCACTCACTGGATGTCTCACAAAGCCACCACGACTAACAAGCTTACTCTGAATCATTTTTCTAAAAGGAAACTGCCAAGTTTGCATCTTAGCTCATTTAATTTGCTAATGAAATCCAATCTCCCCTCAAAAGGGGGAATATCTTTTGAAAAGGACACTACATGCTTAGCAGCATGGGCACGGTTAAGACTGTGACAAACCCAAACCACCCCTAACTGTATTATAAAAAGGAAGGCTAGAAATTTTTTACTTAAAACAGTCACAGACTCCTAAGAATTTTTACCTTCACATTACATTTTGAAGGTAGAGGCAATGACATTATTAGAGCTTCTGGTCTAGCCCTGCACCAGACACTCTCCTGAATGCATGTCACGTTAACAGAACTCACACCCACAACTCTTCCACTACCTCCAGATCCCTCATTCATCTCAACCCAAAATCCTGGCAGCCCAACTCACACCACTGTTGGCAGCTTCATTTCATTTGGTGCTTAAGCAAGAGGCACTTTAAACATAGAAAATAGGAGAGACTATAGTACTAGACAAACTAGATCCTATTTCACTTGGATCTGACCGCACTGCAGTGTCCAAGGCAGGCAATATGCTTATCTGCTTTATTATAGAATTATGTTCCACTCTCTAAATCGAAGAGACAAACTCATGCCAAGTTTCCACTATCTAAAGACCTAAAGCAAATAAAGCAGGGAAAAAAAAAGCCACCACACTAAATAGAAAGAGTAAGAAATGCTGCACTGTTTATTAGCACTATATATTCTCTCACAGAAAAATTGAAAAAATATGTTTTCAGACCTACCAACAATACAAAAGATATTCTGGGTCTCAAGCACAATGGAAATATCTGTTAGTACAAATCACTGTTCATCTACAGTTCTTCAACTACTTCCAAAGTTTTTCTGGAGCAGTTTCACTGCAATCCATAAGTAATCCGTTAGCCATCGATTTAGAAGTAAAAACGTGTCACGGTGCAATTTAGTATCTGTGGTTTCAGGCAATCACTTGAGTGCTTTCAAAGTGCATAACAGAACGTCAGAGTGACATTTTTAATGCTGCCTGAGTATTTATATCGAGTGCCCAGAAAAAAGCCAAGCAAATGAAAGAATTTAAGCAAACAGAATTATAGCTCAATTGACTACAAAACAAAACTTCCCCTGCAATGTAAAATACTGGAATATAACAATGCTTTTCCTCTGAGCCTGAAAAGTCAGGAATTGATTTATGCAAAAGTCACTGTCAAGGCTGTTAGATGTTGTTTGCTAGACATTTCCAAGGCAACTCCATCTAAAGCATTGTATTTCAATGTCCTATAAACACTTTTTACATTAAAAAGAAATAAAACCAAAGCAAAAACTGGCAAAGACACAGATTTATTTTTTTTAATTAGAAAGAAGGGCTAGAACACAAGCTCAGAAGCCTGCAGTTAAGAAGCCTGAGACACCTAAACAAGCTAAACTCTCTTACTAATGCCCTGTAAGAAAAAAATCAGACTTTTTTTTATTGACTTAGAACAGGTTTTACTGTGAGTCAGAACACAAGCTGCCAAATAAAATATAGACACCTTTGAAAATATGAATCAGTGAAGCCTCTTTAAACTCAGTGGTTTCCAAACAGCATTATTGCATTTATATTTAAGATTAGAAAGGGAACTTGCACCAGAGAGTTCTCTGCAGCAGGCTGATGAGCTTCACAGTTAAATCAATTTAACTGAATGTTACGAGAACATGAATATGGAAATGGTGAACTGAAAGATGGAGCTATGGACAACCCACACGAAGGGCACACTGCTCAAAGGCATGGCCTTGCAGCACGTCCCAGAACACACAGAACTGCTCTCTGCAGCAGCCAGAATTTCACAACTATGCTGCGGGGGAAGGAGGAGAATAAGGTGTTAAGGAAAAGTTACGTTTTAGTCTGGTACAATCGTTTTCATCAATAGATTTTTTGGAAGCAAGGTACAAGTTATTAAAATGCAGCAGGAGCTGCAGCAGAGTGGGGAGTGCAGCTGGGTCTCACCAGATCTTACTGTGTGAAACCCACCGACTTGACACCAGCATCCACCACTGCTTGCACCCAGGATCTCAAACGCTTCTTCCAGGAGACAGAGCTGGTCAAGCACTTCTGCTGCATGCCCAGCTTTGAACACCCTTCAAGAATCTTCAACGACTCCCTTCAGGAGTGATTTTAAGAAGCCTGAAGTCTAAGGGAGGGTTAGAATAAAAACGTGACTTTCTAGTCAGAGAGCTCTAGAGCTCTTAGAGCTTGTTCAGGAGCTCCCTCTTGAGGTCAGACACACCACCACGCTAAAGACATGGCCATATCCTCATAGCTGATTCTACTTCACATTAGAGTGTGTCCCTGCAAAAGGGATATTATCAAAGGCTTCTCCTCAAACCTCTGTACACTGCTTTGGAGACAGCATTAGATAGATACTTTTGAGTCACAAGTGCTGCAATCTTAAAAATGGTAAGATAAGTCCACATTAAACACAGGAAGGTGAACTGAAGAAGCACTTCACTTACACACCTTTGGTGTCCAGTGCAAGGTGTAAATCCTGGTAAAACCTCTGTTATTGTGAATCATGAAATGAACAGTGCACACTGATGATGAGAAAAGCTGCATTGTGTGTAACGAAACTGCAACCTCACTAGGTTTATTCCAGGCTGGTAACAAGTCCCACTCTTCGGGTGACCTTTTAGCTACTCTAAGCATCCATCCACCTCCTTGCTAGAGCTACCTCATTCCACAAAACCCAACGGTGTTACTCCAGTGTCTTTGTTGCCACAAGCTGCTACGTGGGCTGACATCTCTGATTTTTAATGTGCTGAATCAGTTTTTGCCAAAGTTTGGACAATTCTTTAAACAGGATCTGATGAAATGTCTTCCCACAAGCTCCAGAGGGCCTGCCCCCACATGGAAGAAGCTTTCAACCCTGAAATTGCTGAGAAATGGATTTTTCCAAACTCTTGTTGAGAATTTTTTCCTCTTCCACAACAGCTAAAGGTTCAAATTCAGGTGGCTAAGCAAGTGTTGGGAAGCAGTGCAAGAGCCAAAAAGAACAAGCTTTGCCTACAATGGTCATATTTTACTACTGCTGAGCTCCCACAGAGCACTTTCCTCAATCCCAGAGCAAATATCCATGCCAGCCAGTAGAGCTGTCAATGACCATCTCAGCCTCAGTACTGTTACAAATCCACAACTGAGAAAAGATCCTTTCTCTTTTAGACATACTTTTCCAGGGAGGCTCTCCCTGTCACTTCTTTAATCACAGAAACATTTTGAACCCTTCTCCAGCTCAAGCTGTGAGGTCTTCCACAGACTATCAGGGATCAAAGTCATATCATTTTAAATCTTCATCCCATGACAAGGCCTGTAGTTTTAGTAAACTTCTCTATTTTTGGGTGGAACAGATTTAAGTTTGAATGTGCCAGAGCGCCAGAACAGCAACACACAGTTTATTCAGTTATCCTTAGAGATTAAAGTAACGCTAAAGAAAGTCCCAAGTTTAGAGAGATGCTGCCTCCTCCTCCTGTGTGCCTTGCTGTGCTTGAAACAAGATTATTTGTATTTTCTTAAACACAGCCCTTGCTACGATACCTCAGCTCTGAAGCAGACTTGCTGTTTTCAGATGCCAGGTTACACAGCAACGCACAGTTTATTCAGTTATCCTTAGAGATTAAAGTAACGCTAAAGAAAGTCCCAAGTTTAGAGAGATGCTGCCTCCTCCTCCTGTGTGCCTTGCTGTGCTTGAAACAAGATTATTTGTATTTTCTTAAACACAGCCCTTGCTACGATACCTCAGCTCTGAAGCAGACTTGCTGTTTTCAGATGCCAGGTTACAGTCAGAGCCTGTGTGCCTTGCTGTGTTTGAAACAAGATTATTTGTACTTTCTTAAACACAGCCCTTGCTATGATACCTCAGCTCTGAAGCAGACTTGCCGTTTTCAGATGCCAGGTTACAGTCAGAGCACCTTCTAAAACAAGACAAATTGTTTTTATTAACCCTATGCTACAGTCTCACTCTGCTCCATTCTGTGAAAAAGACAGAACATACAAAAAAGAACTAACCAAAAATGCCATACTAGCTAAAATCAGACCATATTTGACCAGCACAGAAGCTTGTGGAAATTGTGCACAAGTCATCAGCTATACCAAGTGCAAGACTAAAAAGAATGGCTTGAAACTTGTACCTAGAAAGGGTCTCTCCCCTCTCTACTGCCAGAAGGCATCGACGTTCAAGTTTTAACTCCCTACAACCAGAAGACATCACAATAAGCTACCAAAAATACTGAAGCAGTTTGGGAATACAAATCGTAGCCCACATTAGGTCCTAAGTAATATTCTAGAAGTTGAAGATGTTTTCTTACTTTTCATGGTGCCCTCCTCCTCTTCTTCTTCTGTGTTTATGACCATTGTACCCAACTGGGACTCCAAGGTGCCATCATGTTCTATCATTGTGTTGGCTCCATCAGTCATTGTGTTGACAGCTCTTATGGTACCAGTTTCATCTCCACTCGCCCTCACCATGGTACCTGAATCAGTTTCATCTTCTTCCTGTGCAAGATGCCACAAGTACATTTTTACTCACAATGGTGAAGTCCCATGAAGAACACCTGTATTCAAGGACACCAGCAAGTCTCACTAATTCAGGAATTTTTACAAATACACACAGAAGCCACATTTTGGGTTTATGCACTTAGTTCTCTCCCTGTCATCTCCAAACAGGTAACGAAAAGTCTTCAAACTTTTCTGCCATTATGACAGATAAGAGAAGAGATAAATAATTAGTAAAAGCTCCTCCATTCAAGTTGTGTCTCATTTCTGATCTGGCGACTTGTCCCTAAGAGTAGATTACAAAACTCACTAGACTGTTAGTGTTTCTGTTCATGTCGTCTGTTTCACCTAAACTCCCTATCTCAAGTGGTGCAGTTCACTGAGGAGCCCTCAGTTATTAGCAACAGGTCTGAGTCTGGAATGCATGTGGCACACTGAAGAGAAACCACCACCCTATTTTGTAGGTGATTTGTAGGAGTCTGTCTTTAACATTTAGGTAATTTTACTTGCTATAAACTTTAGAAATACTGAAAAAAAACCGAATAAGATTTGCAAATCTTTAAACAGGAATGTAATTATCAAAATCTAGTCTATTTTTTTCAGATGAAAACTATTTCTTATCTTCCCGTTTGTTAACAGCTATTATTATAGAATTCTGATTTATTGCTGGCAGCTCAAAGCTCAAGAGACTGACTGTAGGAAAACACAATGAAACAAATTCTGGTAGCACAGCTTCCTGGCAGACAGTTACCTTTGCCAGAAGTAGCAGCTTCATTAGGTGATGTGTGCTTCACTAGGGATATATTGTGACTAGGATTTAATGAAGAACAAGGTCAAAATTTCCATATTCTATTTATTTTCTTGGAAATGCAGACCAGGAATCCAACTACAAGATCAGAAGTCATGTCCTAGGTTTACAGTAGTTTCTAGGCACCTCACCTTGGATGAGATGCTCCTGTTTTGTTACAAGGATGAAGTTCACATTTCTTTATGGGCTTACTGATCTGTGTTAGTGTTAGAGGGAAAACACAGGTCTCACATGAAGCTGTAATACTCCATCTCAACGTCACTGACAGAAAGAAGTATACTCCTCTGCATTCTGGTGTTCTGTGCATTTTATCTGTTCTGTCAAGGGTGTCTACGTAATTTACTTGCCAACCTCAAAACTAATAGCATGAGGAGGAGAAAACTACATGAGATGTTAATGGATAAGTAATTTTATGTGGAGATGAGTGGGTGAGAGGAAGTAATAAATTTGTTAGCTACACATCATTTAACAAATGACTACAGCAGACACTTTTCTGCCAGCAGACATGGAGTAGGGAAGATTTGGGAACACACACACACCATCCCCCCACCCCCAACAGAGACCATTGAGTTCCACCACAAAGACACCACCTCTCAGCAACGTGACTCCAGATCAGTCAGAAATGAAGAAGAGGGGGTAGGGACAATATTCTTAGAATCAACATCATGGCAACACAACCAATCAAGTTACTTCCTCACTGAATAAACAGGTGGTCCTAAACAGAAAAACGAGATGAATGTCTTCAGCACAGGTACTGTGGACCACACTGTTCAAGGCTGACCTCTGAAAAGGACTGGCACACAATGCCCATTTCATTTATTCAGGTTGAAGCAGGCAGAGGCTCAAAAAACAGCTTTCAACATGCTTTCCATATTCACATGCTGTAACCACTGAAACAAGGAGCCCGAGCCGAAATTCACAGCAACCCCTGAACACTTGCCATGCCCTCACCTCAGGTTTCTGTCGGTTGCTCTTGTGTAGTAGAAAGTTTCTATAAGGGGGTTTCTAAAGCACAACAATAGTAAAACAACACAACATACTTACAGTGTATTACAGGCAATATTATTATTTTATACTAGCAGTCTATGAGTTGAATCTACAATGAAAAATTCTTATTATTGCATAAATAATAAAATCCAACTGGGAAAACATATCGTGCCTTTTGCAGACACTACTTTATAGACCTATTTGATCACAGGTCTCTAGCTACACTCCAAGCTGAACAGTAAGCCACATATGCTGGCTATCCCCCTCAAGTATAAAGATTATACCTGCTTAACCTGATGCTTGGTCACTGCTCAAAGTAGAAAACTCAAGAACTAAGTCAACTCCACAGGCAGCTGGACAAAATACTGCAAAATCAAAAACCAAAGCAGCTAGGCCTTGTGAAAGGAACAAGAGTTTGCACTTTGTACACAGTTGCTATTAAATACTCACTGAATTTTCTTCATCTTCTTGATCCAGTTCAGACTGTTGAGCCTCCTGACGTTTCAGCTTGATCTCCATTGCTTCGTTAATCAAGTCTCGCAGGACTGACACTCCTTTGGCACTTTTAACAAATGGATGCTGAGAAGTATTTTAAATACAAATAAGCACTGCATCCAAACCAAGATATAACATTAAAACACTGTTACTAGGGCCTACTTCCAATCAAAATGAAGGTTTAACTCAATATGTTATGAAAATAAACCCCACAATTCTTCTGTTTGGCACAGGAGGGAGACCTCCCACCCTGCAAACAAGATCATGCTCCAAAGGCACTACTGCTGTGAAACCTTGGGCTCATTCCCCTCCCACAACCCTCTCTTTCTTTCCTTAGCAGATGAGCTGTTGAGAAGCAGTTACACAGATCATCACCATGCCTAGACCACTCTGAGCAACCGCTTTCACTTCACCTCCCCTTTTTACTGTTTGAAGATGCAGTGCTGGTGAGAACTTGAAAGTAAAAAAAACTCCAAAAGCCAAACAAACACAAAAAAACCAACCCAGAGAAAAGAAAGGCAGGAAGTTGATATTAGACCAGTTCTTATAGAACTGAAAAGTTGAAGCTGAGTGTAAGATATTAGAATACCAGATACTAAAAAGTAAAATCTGGAGTGAGGATGAGCAACGAGAAATAAAACCAACAGTCAGGCAGCATTGCCTGCCCTAGCAAGGCTTCTCAAGAGCTTACATTCTTGTAAGAAAAGGCAGACCTGCAGAAGCTGTGTTGCTGTGGCACGCTGCTCCGGGCTCTTCACAAGACACTGTTCTACAAAGTCTGTGAAACTGTCTGACCAGAGGTCTGGTTTTCGGAACGTTGGAGGTGGATTGGTAGGAATCATGAAAATTGCCTGAAAACAGAACAATATTTCAGATTTGCAGACAAAGTTTAGAGCTTTCCAACAATACAACAAACACACATAAACATGCACTGGTACTGAAGAATGACAGATATTTCAAGTTTGCTGCTTCTGAAGAGTTTGTGTTAACATTATACACAAATTTGCTCAGAGGGATCCAGCAGCAAGAAAACAGACTCTTCTCACTAGGTGCTTAGACTTCTGTCTGAGCCATTATATGCCCCAAATGGTGCCAATCTGCTATTTTCTATGATTCTATAATTCTGTGATTTTTAAGACTTAAAAATCTGTGTGTTTGGACAATGCAGCTGAAGACAGGTTTCTTCACACCAAACACAGGGAAGCACAGCTATGTCTTAATAGAAGAGGATCGCGATTGTCCTTCCCATGCAAATTCTCCTTTTCAAAGCCCTGTTCTTCATTTAATCAACACTAAAACGTCAGAAAACAAATCCTTTACTCTAAACTAAAAGCAAGATGGCACATGGGTAAGGCATTCAGCTAGCAAAACCTTTCCATACAGCAGTACATTTTCAAAGTCCTTACCCTCATAGGATGGATATCAGCATACGGTGGTTTGCCTTCAGCCATTTCTATGGCAGTGATTCCCAGAGACCAGATGTCTGCAACACAATTATACCCAATCTCTTGAATCACTTCTGGGGCCATCCAAAATGGGGTCCCTATAACTGTGTTCCGCTTTGCCATAGTGTCCTGAGAAAAGGAGGATAAAGATCCAGACAATGGCAGTTATATTAGCCACAACATTAATGAATGAATTATCACCCAAATTATCTTCCACTTGCATGCAGACATCATTAGATTCAGCAAGACTGGAATGCAGAGAGTTGCAAAATGGAACTGCTTACAGAAGTTACAAATATCCTGAAGAAAACAGCAAATGGTATTGCAAACCATCACTGAAGTACAGCAGCTTCCATAGAGGAAGTTCTGATGTGTGTCTTACTGACTTAGTATCTCATCATGTTGGTGTAAAGTGCTAAAAACCAGTTCAGAACAATTTTGCTATACCTCCAGAAGCACATCATGCCCACATTGGGGTTAAAAAGTCATGCTCAAGTGTCCACCTTGGGTTTACTTACTGTAAGTTGTCCAGCCACTCCAAAATCTGCCAGTTTAGCATGCCCCTCTGTATTCAGCAATATATTTCCAGCTTTGATGTCCCTGTGTATTTTCCTCATAAAATGCAGGTACTCTAGTCCTTTCAGCGTTGATTTCACTATTGTAGCAATTTCTTCCTCTGTGAGCTAAACAAAAGAAGAGTTACTGCCAACTTATCAGTTGCTGAGATCTAACACTACTGTGCTTCAGTCTGTTTTCCTAAGATTCTCTATTTATCATTTCATTGCCTCCACTAAGGGTTGCCATACTAATGGGGAATGAGTTATCAACATTCAGCATTATGCAGAATTAGATACAACCAGCATACACACACAGAGCACATTTCACATAGCAGAACCCCTTCTCCACTAGCAATTCTTACCCTATAATCACCAAAGTAAGGCAAAGTAGAGTCTGTAATTCAGTCAAGCAAACAAATCCAAATCTGCTCCACTGATAACATGACTCAGATAACCAAAATTCAATCAATGTGATCAGTTTTCTCATTTTCAGAGGAACAAAGGACCTGCATCACAAGTTATGGCCAATGGTTGTGTCAGGCATTGAACTAGTGTGCAGTGAGAGTCATGCCCAGACTCCTCTTCCTGGAGCTGCTGACACCCACAGTTCCCACTCGGGCACCAAGGAGAAGGGACTCACTGTTTTGTTGCGCAGCCGGATGATATCGGACACAGAGCCGGCGCCGCAGTACTCCATGACTATCCACAGGTCTGTGTTCTTAAAGTAGCTCCCGTAGTATTTCACCACGTGAGGACTATGTGAAAAGAAGAAAACCAAAGGTTAAATACCAGCGTAACTGACCAAGCAAAATACCCTGCAGAGTGTCTAGGTTTGAAAAATTCAGAGCTGAAGTAGCACTGAAACCCTGATCAAAAGCTGTCCGAAACAGTCTGAACTTGCACAGGGCTACTGCAGTCCTGCTAAGCCCCTTGCCCTCAGCAGTGCTCATCTGACTTGCCTGTCATGCAGTTCAGGGAGCTAAACCACCTGAAAATAAATCCTATAGAAATAAGGAGCCAGTAGGCTTCAGTCTGGTTTAGCTCCCTGAACTGGATTATCATGGCAGTCCCTGGCAAAGCTGCTGCAGAGCATCAGCAGCCAAACGGAAATGTTAAATAAGGCCCAAGTTTCCTGGAGAATAACTGTCATGTTCATTAAGAAGAGCTTATGCACCAAGTTGTTCCTACAACTCAGTCCAGGACGTATTTTACAAATCCAGTACAAACTAAGACTGCCTCTCAGGGTCAGCTATCTGGCTGCCCCAAAAGCAACTTGCCCAGTGATGTATATTGGTCATAATAACCATCTGTGCTCTGGAAAAGGTAAAGCAGAAGACTAACAGGAAGACTGTTTCTGATTTTATGGGAATGGAGCTATGGAACAAAAGTGCACTTGATCTATGCTGACTATTTTCTGATGAAAAACTAACACCAGTGAAACAAAGTCAGTCACACCACACGACAGCATCCCCAAAGCTTGCACAGAAAATGATGCTCCAGTGATTCACTCCCTCTGCTGTTCCTAACTGTAAGATCTCATTTTAGACCTTAGAGTGCCAATGTTTAATTTATTTTAAGAAAGAGACATCTAGCAATGTTTCCCAAGTTACACAGTAAGATTTTTCAGGAACAATTTCTTTTCAAGTTACTTTTTGTTCTCTGCCACCAGTCACCTTCACCTACAGATAGTGAGAGTGAAGTGCAATAGAGTGACTGGGACCACAGTTTTACATTGCTAATGTAATTTATTTTAAATGGTTTTCCATGCCTGAAGTTAATCAAAGTAGCATTTCTTAAGGCTAGACTCATAATACCAGAAGGAATTAGCCTATTTTAAACTTTCAGCCTAGCACACACTTGGAGAGCTCTTCTACACCCTTGAGGTTGTCTGCTACGTTAGCACATCTTTTTCCCCAAGAAACATGCAAAGATAACCCCAAGAGCCAGCCCGCAGAGCTGCCAGCAGGTTATTCTGGGGACACTCAGATCAGCAGCCAGCTTGTACCACACTAGAATCTGTAGAAAAGAGCCAGGAAGGCCAATTCTGCCACCCAAGCAGACGACAGCACGTGGATGATGCGCATGCAAGAGCAGTCATGCATTAGTGGCTCTGTCCACATGCCCCTTGAAAACAAACAAAACCCCCTCTTGAACAGTTTTCTACGTCCATCCCAAAACTTGTTTAGAATTCTCTCCCCTGTGTCCAGCACAGTCCAGGTACCCCCCCTGAAGAAGGCCGGCGCAGGGGGAGGCAGCCGCTGCTCACACGCTCAGCTCTGGGCTGCAGCAAGTGCAAGGTTATTGACTCAGCTGAATGCTCTCTTGTGGCAAGCTACATTTGTGTTGTCTTACCTTTGCCTGGATTAACACTACCCACATGGTCAGCTAACATGACTCAGCTGATCTGAGGCAACTTGATCGTATAAGTCCAGCCTTTTAAAAAACATTTAAGGCAACATCATGGCTTTCATTTGATGACATGCCAGATCATAGACAATACTTTTCTTTGAGTACCAATAATGAGTTTTGCAGTAGAAATTTACCTGTCACATTGCTGCATTATGGAGATTTCCTTTATAATCTCTTGCAGATCAGATTCCACAGGAACTTGTTTGATTGCAACAACTTGACCCGTTTCTTTATGAATGGCTTTGAACACACTGCCATAGGAACTATGAAACAAAAGAAAGAAAAATTGATTAAAATAGTATTTTACAAATCCAAATGTTTGGGTAGTTCCAATGTAGACATCTGGAAAACAAAATCTCCTCCTGCTAGAAATATTTTGTATTTTAACAAATAATCATCCACTAGCTTCCGAACACTATAATAAAATAAGTCAGGGCACACTGAGACAGTGAGAAAGGAGCCAAACATCATTACACTGCCTGTAGCTTTGGAAGGGCCTTTTACACAAATCCAACAAATACAATTGCCTCTTTCCAGCACCCTGTACCAGCTGAGCAGCAGTAAGAAACACAGCTCTGGTCAGAGAGGTTTGCTGTTCCTGTCAGATGTTATCTGCCTTGTTTCCACCTGCTTTCCTCCTAGTGGCCAGGCAGATTTACAGCTCAGTTTCCTCTCACGAGCAGCTTGCGACAGCAGACACAGCACCCACCGAGCACTCCTGTGCTGCTCAGCTGCGCCAAGTGGCACAAGAAACTCATTTCCAGCACGTGGATCTTCCACCAGAGGTGCCAGGGTTGAACAACGAGACCTCTCAAGCTCCCACAGAGCCCTGTCAATTCCAGACTGTCATTTTTCAACATTTTAATTCCCTACCGCTGAGTTGTACACTGCTGTTTGGATTGAAATTTCACACTCTTGGGAAACAAACTCTTTACTCTGTTACTAATCAATCAATGTCACTATGTGAGTATGTACCTTTGGAGTAATAGGATTGGGACAAAAGTGAAGAATCAGGGACCACTGACCATGTATTACACAGATTTGCTCTTAAAGAAATACACCCTGCAGTAGAAAACGTACCCTTCTCCAAGCTTCTCCAACACGTCAAACACTTCTTCAGGTTGTTTGGTTAAACTGTCTTCATCTAACTTCTTCAGCTGCCTGGATATGCAAGAATAGAGAAATTACTGCATTTAATTTTACAGCAGTTTGGGCTTTGCTGAACAGCAGAATAAACAGCACCACTTAAACGTACGCAAGGCTCAGCGTGAAATAAATTGATTATGAAATAAGTCTATTTCACCTGACCAGGAGACTGAATACGATTAGCATCCAATAGCACAAGAGGACTGGGAATTGCAGAGAACAGGACTTGATCAGGCACACAAAGCTACAGTTCCTATGGGTGGAAATTTATCCCAGGATGTATATGGTGGTGGTCAAATCCCAACACAGCACGGCAGAGCCCTGCAGCTACTGGGTGTATCTGCTCGAGTGCAGTATCTGGTATGGGGGTAGGTCCTATGGCCAGGCATAGCCAGCACCATCGCCTCGATGCCCTGAACGCACGTGGAACACACCTGTCGGGAGGAGGGAGGCGATATGATCTCACCTCCACACCTGCAAACCTGGAAGTTCAGATCTGGACTTCATGGGCCTGGATGTACCCCAGAATCCCAGCATGCGGGAGGTTGGAAGGAACCTCTGGGGATCATCTCACCCAACCCTGCTGCTCCACCCAGAGCAGGGTTCCCAGGATGGCATCCAGGTGGGTTTGGAATCTCTCCAGAGCAGGAGACTCCACAACCGCTCTGGGCAGCTGCTCCAGGCTCGGGCACCCACACAGGAAAGAAGTTTATCCTTTTATCTAGGTGGAACTCCCTGTGTTCTAGTTTGTGCCCCTTGTCCTGTCACTGGGCACCACTGAAAATACACACATTTTAAGATATACTAGGAAAATTCTATCAGGGAAAACAGGTATCTGACTCTTTTAGGATCTGCTTGGCCCATCCCTCTATTAAACGCATTGCAAGGAAGGGTCAGCTGAAATACTTCCTAGAGAATGCAGACTACATACTGTGAGCCTTCACCCCCTCAGCCCCAGAACAACTGTCAGGGAGATTCCTACACAAAGCAAATGATCAAATGCATTTCTTTTTGTCCACCCCTACCACATTGGCAAGCAGTTCACCAAGAACGCTCCCAACACAGCTAAGCACTACATGAAAAAAAAAACCTTCTGAATACAAAGTATTTTCCTGTCAAACAGTATCTGACAGCCAACAAACAAGTGCTCTTTCATTTTCACACAAACTAAACAAAAAATCTGAAACAGCAACAACCCACAAAACCCACCCAAACAAAAAAACCTCCGAACTCCCCAAGCCAGCTCATACAAGTTTGTGAAACAAGGAAACTTACTAGTCCCAGAGCACTCAGAACTTATGATCTCACCCTGAGCAGCATCTAAAATGAAAGGTGCGTGGTCACCTGCAGCTGCAGACTACTACTGACAGCTCCTCCTCCTGCTGCTGCAGATCATGACTCTGGCCACAGGTATGCTAATTTTGATAGGAAATATGTAACTTCACCACCATCCCCCCAGTTTTTTCAGAAGCAGAGTGAGAAACCACTCCTTGATCCCTGGCGATGATGTTTATGCACACAGGCTGTAGAGGGGGAGCAGCTCACACAGGGAGTACACACAATGGCTTCCTGAAGCAAAGGAAACGTTATAAAGCAGCACACGCAGGAAGTGGTGAAATACTGCGAGTAGTCACAAGCTTCCCTCCAAAGATAAGTGTTAACTAACAGTGTCACTTGTCCTTGTGAACGTGGGGAGGGACGAAAGTGCAGGAAGAGGAGAAAAGGGGGGCAAAACCCCATGTATATCAGTGATCACACACGCTGCCATTTCCAAGTAGCCCAGAAAGCGGCAACACAACAGGCAGAAACTTCTTGCTGAAGTCAGGATGAGGCCTAAATTTGATTAAAAGAAACCAAACCAAAACAAAATAAAACAGGCTTTTCACACATCCAAACACAATAATGGGACAACTCCTGCTGTTCCCTGGATCCACCCCATTTCTGCTGCCACGCAGGGGCCCGGGCCAGCGCGCTCCCCACTGTCACACACACAGCCTGCCCCTGCACACAGACCACAGCCTCCAGCAGCAACACAAACCCCTTCCCACCCACAGTGCTCCTCAGGTCTAACCCGAGTCACCTCCCAGTTAAACACGGACACGAGCAATTACAGGATAAAACCAGAGGGTGTTTTTTAACAGAAGCCACCCTTGCTGTTCTGTTCAGCACAGCCAGTGCCCCTGCAGGGCAGAGCAGCAGCTCTGGTGCCCCCGGCCCAGCTGCACGCTGCCGATAGCGCTTCCAGGGGCCAACGCTCCCCCCAAACTGCTGAGCTGCCCACACTGTCCCCTCCCAGCCCTGCCGCTCAGAGAGGTGCTTTATTTGGCACTGGAGAGGTCACAGCTTGAGGACTGTGGTCACTTTTGGGCGCCACAGTACAAGAAAGCTATTGAGGGACTAGAGTGGGTCCAGAGATGGGCAGCGAAGCTGCTGAAGGGTCTGGGGAACATGGCTCATGAGGAGTGGCTGAGGGACCCGGGCTTGTTCAGCCTGAAGAGGAGGCTGAGGGGAGACCTTATTGTGCTCTACAACTCCCTGAAAGGAAGTTGTAGGGAGGTGGGAGCTGGTCTCTTTTCCCAAGTAACCAGTGATAGGGTGAGAGGAAATGGGCTGAAGTTGTGCCAGGGGAAGTTCTGATTGGATATTAGGCAGAATTCCATTACTAACAGAGTGGTGAAGCGCCGGGCCAGGCTACCCTGGAACGTGGTGGAGTCACCATCCCTGGAGGGGTTCAAAAAACACGTACACGGGGCACTTGGGGACATGGTTCAGTGGTCACGGTAGCGTTGGGTTGATGGCTGGACTTGATCTTAGAGGTCTTTCTCAACCCTAACGATCCTAGGTTCTGTGGTTGCAGGCTGCATTTGAAGCTCCCTCAGCACCGGTGGGGGCAGCGCGTGCACCCCGCCCCGGGCGGGCAGCGAGCCCTCACAAATGCACCAAAAAAGGCAGGAGGAACGAGTAAGCTCCCAGGAGCGTGACACTAGCACAGGTCCCCGGTACAGCCCCACAGGCTCCCGTAGCCCACTTTAAGCCGTTTTTCCACCCCCCGAGCTCGGTGCTGTCGCAGCACGGACCTATCGGCGCTACGTGGTT